TCTTTTAACTTCTTATCTAATTTATTATTTTTATAATATTTATCTATAAAAAAATAAATTTTATTGTTTTAAAAATAAATTATCAATAATTAAAAATAATCTCATTCTTTTATCATAAAGAAAAAATTTTATTAAAGAAGATAATAAAGGGAACATGAGAGATATATCGAAGAGTTAGAATAATATATAAAAGATCCTGTATTCGAATCTTAATGTCGTCAATGTAATTTTAATGGATAAAAAAAGAGTTATACCATGTATCTAACACTTACATCACAAAAAATTAGAACAAAGAAGAAAAAAAGCATTCATCAAAACACTTGAAACAACTTAGTATTTTATTTTTTTTGGTGAATTACAAGGAAAAGAATATGAAACTAATTAAAAAAATTGGGAAAAAAGTTTGAGTTATATCAACTCTTAACGCACTTAAAATACAATTAGGGGTCACATTGTATTCATGATACTGCCAAGGCGACTCCATCGCTTCCTTAGCCGACTTATCAACTACCTCGTTAGCCTCCCGTAGAATGTGATTCTAAGTAAAGTTACCTTCACATGATACACTACATGGATCTCAGTAATAATACTATGATGATAAGTGTGTTTATCTCCACATCCTTCTTTCACTAGTCTCACTACATTGAGAGAGTTTAAATCTACTCGAACTTTTGACAACCCCTAGGCCAAATCATCTTAAGACCAAGAAGAATGCCCCATATTTCCACTTCGAGAATCAAGCAACTACAAACAGCTTCATATTATGTAGCAAAAAACATAAATATCAATCCCAAGGTTATGATGTAAATAGTTCTTGGACATGGAAGAAACAAATATATATATATATATATATATATATATTATCAATTCATGAAAATATAAAACAAATCCTACCTATAAACTAACTTGTTAAGGAAACACAATCGTCCTAAACATGCATACATAAGTGGTAAATATCTATAATAAAAGAAACTAAAAACAAGTCCTATATGTCACTGAAGCACTCTAAAAACACAAGTCATATCAGAATAGCTTCACCATAAAATGCCACCATACACAAGCTCATCATCCACCTCATCTTGACCTACTTTCATACCAAACTATGATCATCACAATCCAACATATGGAAAGCAAGGGAAAACTTATATATGTACACAAGAAAAATATCTTATATAACATATAGAAAGTAATAACTATCTATATTACCATAATAAACATATCTCAACATATAAACTTCATAGAAAAAAACATGTCAACTCAGCATCTTTATAAAAGATAAACAACTTAACATCACAGTAAACAGCACAACATAGAAAAACAACTCATCATATCAATGCGTCGTCATGCATTTTAACATAGGAGATCTATAATAATATAAATGAATAGTTTAAGTGGCTCGACCTTTCCGAACAAAAAAAACATTTTTCACTGGGTCACACAACACAAGTTCAACTTAAAAGCTTTTTATCAATGCATAAATAGTTTCTCAATTTTTCCACTTAAACTAAAAAATTCTAGCACTATTATAAGGAATAGAATAACTTAGGTGTGGTCCAATCACAACATTAGTATACATCAGCTAACCCTATATGGAATTAACCCACCATGCTCAACTAGGCATTTCTAAAAATGATGCTTCAACATAAAAGAATCAATCACCTTATTCCAGGCTCTAAGGGCTTATTTCAAGCCATATAAGGCTTTATTCAACTTATATATCTTGTTTTCATTACCTTCAACTTCAAATCCAGGTGATTGTGTAACATATACATCTTCCTCAAGTGGACCTTTTAAGAAAGCAGACTTCACATCTAACTGAAATAAGGGCCACCGTTTTCCACTTGCCAGTGCCATAACTAGCCTTATTGTCTTAATTCTAGCCATCGAAGCAAACCCTTCTGAATAATCAAGACCTTGTTTTTGTAAGAATCCTTTTGCCACCAATCTTGCCTTACGGTGCTTAGCAATTGACCCATCAGGATTAAGCTTCAACTTAAATACCCATTTAACATCTATTGATTTTTTGTTAAAGGGTAGTTTAGTTAAAGTCCGGGTCTGATTTTTCTCTATGGCTTGCAACTCTTCTATCATTGCAGCTCTCCATAATTCTTGCTTCATTACTTCCACATAGTCAATAGGTTCAGCCTTTGACAACAAAGCAAAATGCACCAAATCTCATTTATTTGTTACTACACTCTCAGGGAATATTTCAAGATCTACAAGTGTTCTTGGTAAATTTCTTTATCTAGGTTGTCTCTATGACTAAGTAGGAGCTTTTTCATTCATATTGTCATGTTCATAACTACATTGTTCCTTTACATATTCTATTAGTACTGGAACAACACTAGATTTGAGACTTGAGATTGTTGCTATGAGTTGCCCAATCCCATGATTCTGCTTCATTCACAACTATATCTCTACTGATACATATTTTTTTAGTTGTTAGATCATAAAGTCTATAGGCTTCTGTATAATGATATCCTACTAGGACCATAGGCTCACTTTTATCTTACAACTTCCTCCTTTTAGCATATGGAACATGTTTAAAACATAGTGAACCAAAAATTCTAAGATGATTTACTTTGGTTTCCAACCAGACCACACTTCCTCTGGAAACTTCTCCTTCAACTTCTTTGTAGGGCACTTGTTTAGCACACGTACTATCCGCACCGCGAAGCCGGCCTTGAGCTCGGTACTAAAGCGCGGATTGACATCAGATATACGCCACGTGACATCGGCTAAGACAAAGGCCCACTATCTACCGGGCTGAGGTCAACCTCAAGCCCAGATCAACGTTACCCTCGCCTAAGAGGAAAACCCTAATTCACATCAAGGTACGTGCACTATATATATGAGACCTATACACCCCCATATACTAACTTTAGCATCGGAGCCTCTTTTGCAGGTACCACCTGTAGACACCCAATTTTGGAACGAGCTGTTCCAGGTTCTTATTTTACCTATAATAAACTTGCCCAGAACGGGCCGTTCTAAAACTGGAACGGGCCGGTCCCCTGGTTTGGAACGGGCCGTTCCACTTTTGGAACGGGTCGTTCCACGGAGGTGGTGACTAAGCTACCGTAACCGAAGATATCCTATCGGTATTTCACCGTGACGGTACACTTGCCTTCCAGCCCTGAGCCGTTAAGACGAAAGGGCTTAAGAGGGTTGAAATCCGACTCTAGTGACAACATGCGGCTATAAACCGACCGGTCCTGAGGGAATCGACCGAGGCGGTGATTGAGCTATCGTAACCGAAGATATACTATCAGCATTTCACCGTGACGGTACAGTTACAAATTACAATATAACAATTTTTCACATGAAAATAATAATAATCACAGCTTTTATTTTGCAAAACCATTTTTGATAATTTCACCCGTAAAATCATTTATAGTTATAAGTTTTCAAACAATGTGTCAAAATCATTTTTTAATAGATATTATCCATATAAAATTCATGTTATTTACTTAAAATAAAATTCAAATTCAATTCTACAAACGAACAGTCAAACATGTACTTCAACCCCAACCCCCATTCTGCAACCCAACCCCAACAGGCACGTTTGATTTGCAACCATTCCACCGGTTCTTTTGAAATCAACTTTTAAAAGTTAATACCAACATTTTTTAATGGGTATGAAAGTTAGATAAATTAGGAAGGTTTCGCGAGATATTAGCGAGGGATTTGCGAGGAAACTCAAAAGATATGTTGTGAAGGTTTCGCGAGGGATTAGCGTGGTATTCGCGAGGGAACTCAATAAATAATTCAGGCAGTTCAACCATCAACAACACCATCAACCAACCAACATAGGGAGGATCAAGGACGAGATGATGATTTTACTAGCTTAGGTTGATTACTATTTAGGATGACTCGTTATTTGGCTTTTCTTTTTGTAAGACATTAATTAGTTTGGGTTTCTTTAAGATAGTATGCACAAGTTGGATTTTGTAAGACATTTAACAATTTGGTTTTGTAAGAGATATTGTTACATGCAACTTTTATTTTAAATCATGTCGAATTGAAAAAAAGAGGAACCTGCAACCTCTGGAGATGAAGCTTGGGTAGAGCTACTAGTTCCAAGATCCAAGCTATGTCCCATGTCATACACTCTTTTCTTATTGTTTTCACCTGCAGCTTTTAACCAAAGATCAGAATCAATTACAAGATGAGATGAAGTGTCTTCTCCATATTTTTGTGTCATTGATTCTTCATATGTTCCTACAAATAATAAACAAAAAAAATAAGTGAAATAGCAAGAGGTTAAAAAAGTACATAATCAATCTTAAAATATAAAATAACATACAATAAATTTGTTTGCCCTAGTTGAGACAAATTCACCATCATTTTTTTTGTGAACTTTGTTATACACTTCACGATAAGAAACATGACGATTCTGTTGTGCCTCTTATAAAAGATTACAGTACAAATTGTAAGTAATGAAATTTACTAAAGAAACTCATTAATTTTCAAAACCTTCAACTTTCACAACTTGTTAAAGAATTAAAAAAAATGCACTTAAAAAAATCCATGGGTAAAGAAATTTTTTTTAAGACATCATTAATAACACAATTTTAATTGTAAGAAATTCCAAATATTAGCTAAATTAATAAATCTAAAAAATAAGTAACTTTTACGATGGATTATCTAAGTAAAATAATTATATTAGAATAGGAATAAAGCAAACATCACTCATTAATTATTGACAAAATTCAATATGATTTGATTACCATAGTTTTTTTGTGTTGCCTGAAGCTTCTTGACCCTCCTATGTGCACCATTGTTTCAGGCTGGGCAACCCTGTTTTGTCTTCCAGCAATAGATTTCTTTTGCCATTCTGGTGTCTTCCAAATGTCGATCAACCCATTCCATATTTCAGCTTTCATCCCTCTAGGCTTGTGAGCCCTTAAATCCTCATAATTTCTTGAGTTTGTTACTTTTATTACTTTATCCCTGTCTTTACACAATTGATCAGAATACCTATCCATGCATGTTTTTTCCCAAACTTCCCTCGCCATCACACGATCATATTCTGATGCAAAACGATATTTTTCCCGCAATAATACAACTGAAGTAAAAAAAAAATAGTTGTTGATATAATGATATAATATATAATACTATTAGATTAATTACTTACCTTAAAATCATTAAATAACATTTCTTTCATTTCAGGGCAATAACTTTTCCAACAATCTGCAGTATAAGGCATCCTTGACATTACCTCAGAAATGATATAACGAGTCACAAATTGTTGAGCAAACCTCTTCCTATAATTCAATTCAAACCACAAATAGTTCAATAACATGAATTTAAAGTATTAATCATATTCATAAATTCAATTTTACTTACAGTTTAGAAACTGCCTCCACGGATATTATTTGCCTCCTATCAACTTCTACATTAGAATCTTCACTTGAAGGCACCATAGTAGGTTGTTGATTATCAGATGTTGGGATAGTATTTGATTCACCACCATTAATCAAGGGGGTGGTATCAGATGATTGTCCACCACTAGCTGATGTAGCACCACCATTAGCTAATGAACTAGTAGATCCATCACCTAGACAAACATAGTAAAGAAAAGTTAGTTTTTATCCATTGCATTTAAATAAATATAGAGTTAATAATTAAAATGTTATTCTAAAAGTGTACGAGGTGAGTGATGAGAAACATGT